AATTAAAATTGTTTTCTATAATTTTATTAAGATAAAAGATAAAATATAAAAAAAGAAAACGCTTTTAATGTTCTTATGTACACTAATGATTCTTGTCATTTTTGGTATGTAAATATAATGTTTATTAAATAGAGAATATTACATACACATAATTGTGAAGTGCTAAACTAAAAAAGTAGTTGTCATCCATTTAATTAGAGCTAGAACTTAACTAACATTCATTTATGTTTATGTTCCAACCTCATCTCAAGAGTCTCAATTCATATTCATGAATTTAATCCACTTCTTAGATGTCAATCTTTATGTAGTAATCCAAAACCTGATGGCCCAACAGGGCCCAAGACAAATAAGCCCAATAGCCCACACCAAAGCCCAATAAGCAAAACTCCCCCCATGACTGAGTACGCGGGGCGTACTCAGCTGTACGCTAAGTGTGTAGGTTGTTTGGCTTGTACGTTGCGCGTACAAACTTATACGCCCACCATACTCCTCCATTGAGCCAAAACCTTCATTAAGCTCTTAATGCTTGATCCTATAAATCCAAACCACGGTTCCACTTCTAAACGAATGTCTAGAACCATAAAGTCACTGACTTGGTGACTTTGCATGTCCCAATATCAAAATGTAGCATTCTACTTTCATGAAAATGACTTAAATTCCAACATGGATGGTTTTGAACTCTAAAGGTGCCAACTTTATGGACCTTGAACCTCATAAACACTAAGAGGGAAACTAAAAGCTCCTGGAGTGGAAACAAGACCACTAGATCTCATTCTTGGGACCAAAATGAACCAAAACTAATAAATGATAGATCTAAGACATCAATGATCAAGTTCAAATCTTTTTACCTCCAACATGCTGGAAACGAGACACATAAGCAAGATCCATAAGTGATTCCTTGATTCCCATCCTTGCACCAAACTCCATCTTCTTGGAAATGGACCAAACACACCAACAATGGACACCATGAGCTCAAATGCCACCATGAAGGCTAAAGGACGATTTCTAGGGTTTTTAGAGTGTGGGGGCCGACTTAGAAATGAAGAAAGAGGCTAACATTATGCTTATATAGGGTACAACCCTAAAATTAGGGTTTTCAACCCGACCCTTGTACGCCCAGCATACCAGGTCTCGCACCCCGACCAATCTTCATACTACGCTACGTGTTCCTCCAACTACGCCTTGTGTAACTCCCTTTGCCTCGATACGCCCTGCGTACCGCCTTTGTACACCCCGCGTACTAGGGTTTTCCCCAAACCCTAATTTATGCAAAGACCATAACTTTCTCGATACAACTCCGCTTCCGACAATCCTCATATCCATGAAAAGGTATCGAGACACTCAACACTATTATCAATTCATACTTGCCATAAGATATCCCGAACGAACATCCGCTTTCCATGAAAGCCCGAGCTAAAAATTTTCCGAAATGCCCTTTGACCCAAAAACTCAAATTGAATACTCGAGCATCCAAGATACATTATCCAACTCTAACTCGGTCCAAAACCCAATTCCTCGAGGATCCGAAGCTTGTTAATACCTAGTCCTAGATCACTGTCCCAAAATGGGAACGATTTGAAACAAGATGTTAAACGGAAAACCCGAACCTAGACCTGGTGAGTCACATCCGGTCCGGTCCACGATCCATAATATTCATCGAAACCTGTCCGGACCAAGAACCGGTTCGGTCCAAATCCTCACCCATACATATAACATATATTGATTGTATTTTTTATAAGAAAAAATTAATGATATTTTTTGTACACACCAAACCATTCTCCATTTAGAATTGGATATATACACTAAAGTCTTAATATTTTCAATGATTTGAGAAGAAAGTCCTAAACTTTATTTTTTTAACAGTAAAATCTTATCTACCGACAGTTTTTGACACACTTACCCTTTTTTGCCGGTAATTAGGGCACTACTGTAAAAAAAAAAAAAAAGTTTAAGACTTTCTTTTCAAATTGTGAATTAAGACTTTATTGTAAAATAAAATAAAATTTAGGATATTCTTGTCAAATCGTTAAAAATATTGAGACTTTAGTATATAGTCTTGGTTTCCCTAGAAACAAATAATTATATCAACCTTGTGAGACCCAATTTCTATCCCAAGAACTTTTAGTTGTGATTTTTGTCGCAACACCACTGTTTTTCTTATCATCATTATCTTTACTCTGCTACAATCACGATCAGGGGAAACAGATGCAAAAGAGAGAGCGAGAGAGAGTGATAAGATTTGTAAAGCTTTCTTCTTGGTTTGCCGCCAAACCTTGAACTCAAAAGAGGGGACATATTGAATAAACACAAATAACACACATCTAGTCAAAAGGGTGTGGATGTGTAAAAGGGATAAGAAGCGCAGTTTCATCTTTTCCGGTTTCTTAGTTTTCTATTTTTAGGATTGCAAAAAGTCAACACAACTCTGATTTTTTCTTTCTTTCTTGATTATCTTCAATTTTTTTCATTGTCAGTTTGTTAAGATGAAAAAAAACTATATAACAAGAAGAAAACGTTAAGACTTTCAATAGGATCTAGGTGACCATAGTAGATTGCTCAGATTTCAATAACTTTTATGATTAAAAACTCTCCTACAGAAAAATCATAATTCACGATTTAACAATAATATCCTAAACTTTATTTTGTTGACAGTAAAACTCTAGTTACTACTAACCGGAAAAAAGAGTAAATGTATCAAAATTACCAATAGTTAGGATTTTACTGTCAAAAAATAAAACTTAAGATTTTCTAGTTAAATCATTGAAAATATTAACATTTTGTTGTATATAACTTCTTTTAAGGGGTGTTTGGGATTGCTTTTCATGCTAAAAAGTTCTTTTATAAAAATCTTTTTTGATTTTTTAGCTTTTTACAAAAATTAGTTTTAAAATATGTAAGATTTATCTTTTTATTTTTCAAAGCTAAAAACCTAAAAGTTATAAAATATCATAAATTCGTAACTTTTCAAAAACTTTTTTTTGTTCTTATCAAAAAAATTATTTTTAAAAAACCTTTTAAATGCCCGAACATCCTTTTTTTTTAGAAAAGATAAAAGTTCTAAACTCATTTTAAAAGATTTCACTAAACACCCTCTGATTTTGCAAAGTCCTATTCCTTCCTATATATAACATCATCACTCTCCTCACGATCTCTGTTTATCCCAGAGCTTCATGAATCTCCTAATACGGCGCCATCACAGTTCTTTCGCATCTTTGAAGCTCCAACAGACCATTGAACGCGACATTAAATCTCTCTGCAAAAGCGACCTACTTTTCGACGCCATACATCTCCTAAACTCCATTCCTTCCCACAAAAATTTCACCCAAAAACCAATCCTCTACGCTACTCTCTTGCAAACTTGCACAAAGTGCCAGTCATTCAACCATGGCCTCCAACTGCACTCGCATGTCATCAAGACTGGACTCGAAACCGACCGCTTCGTAGGCAACAGCCTGCTCGCACTTTACTTCAAACTAAGCTCCGACTTCATCGAAACTAAACGGGTTTTCGATGGACTGTATTTTAAAGACGTTGTCTCTTGGACTTCCATGATTTCGGGTTTTATTCGTGTTGGGAAACCAAGGTGTTCGCTTGATTTGTTTAAAGGAATGTTGGGACTCGGTGTTGAACCAAATGGCTTCACATTGTCTTCGGTGATCAAGGCGTGTTCGGAGCTGGGAGACGTAAATCAAGGTCGCGTATGCCATGCGATTGTCTTTCGACTTGGTTTCGATAACAATCATGTAATTGCTAGCTCATTGATCGACATGTACGGCAGAAACTACACCCCCTATGATGCACGTAACCTGTTCGATGAATTGCTTGAACCAGATCCCATTTGTTGGACTACAGTAATTTCCGCCTTTACAAAAAACGATCTGTTCGAAGAAGCATTAGGTTTTTTTCTCTCAATACTAAGGAAGCATAAAATGTGGCCAGACAGCTACACATTTGGAACAATTCTATCAGCTTGTGCGAACTTAGGAAGATTAAAGCAAGGTAAAGAAATTCATTCCAAACTCATCACTTCCGGAATCCAAGATAACGTGGTTGTGGACAGCAGTTTAATCGACATGTATGGTAAATGTGGCTCTTTAAACGAATCCCGCCAAGTGTTCGATAAAATGTCCAAACCAAATTCAGTAAGCTGGTGTGCACTCCTTAATGTTTATTGCCAAAAGGGTGATTTCGATACTGTTATCAACCTTTTTAGAGAAATAAAAGAAGTCGACCTTTACAGTTTTGGAACCCTAGTTCGCGCATGTGCAGGGTTGGCATCTGTTAAACAAGGAAAAGAGGTTCATAGTCAGTATTTAAGGAGGCATGGATGTCGATACGTTATCATAGAATCAGCTTTAGTTGACCTTTACGCAAAATGTGGAAGCATAGATTTTGCTTATAAACTCTTTAAACAAATGGAAGTTAGAAATCTAATAACATGGAACTCAATAATCAGCGGGTTTGCTCAAAATGGGAGAGGTTTTGATGCTATTCAGATGTTTAATGATATGATGAATGAAGGAATGAAACCAGATGGGATTAGTTTCATTGGTGTTCTTTCTGGTTGTAGTCATGCTGGTTTAGTTGATGAAGGGAGAGAGTATTTTATGATAATGAAGAAAAAGTATGGAATTGAAGGCGATGTTGCTCATTATAGTTGCATGGTTGATATGTTAGGGCGTGCTGGGCTTATTGAAGAAGCAGAAAGTTTGATAATGGAGTCGAGATTTGAAGATGATAAGTCTTTGTGGGCGACACTTCTTGGTGCTTGTAGTACGAGTAGTGATTTTATTGTTGCAGAAAGGGTGGGTAAGAAGATGATGGAGTTGGATCCGGATTATCATTTGAGTTATGTTCTTTTGAGTAATGTGTATAGAGCGATTGGAAGGTGGAGTGAATCGGATAAGATTATTGGGATTATGAAAGAGAGAGGGATTCAGAAAACACTTGGGAAAAGTTGGATAGATATAGATGTGTAGTTAGCTCACATAATCATAAGATTCAAACTCTTAAAGTTATTTATGTTATCTATAATTTATTTTAATCAACTAAATTGGTCTAAAAATTGAATAACACAACAAAAGGTATATACATATCGTTTTTATGAATACATACCAAATTCTCATTTATTACACCATTATAGCTTCTCCTACTTCATCTTCACTTTCAGAATCCGGCAATGATTCAGTCTGAAAAGTCAACCTCATCTCTTGGTCAACCAATTCAGCAAGATCATGCCTATTCACAACTTTATAAGCTTCAATAACTGCTTTAAACAAAGACTCATTCGGATCAATCTCACCATATTTTAACTTACTATAAACCCGTTTCACCCCTTCAACCATCCCCGCTTTTCCATAACAACCCACCAAATATATGTAAGTAACAACATCCGCCCCCAAACCTTCATCTTGCATTTTCATAAACACCTTCAACGCCTCATCAACCCTCCCTAAACCCCCATAAACATAAATCCCAACATTATACACAAAAACATCCGATCCCATCTCGAAACTTTCAAAAAACTCCAACGATAAAGAGCTCAAACTCAAACCAATCACCGAAAAGACCAATGCCACCACCGCTTCACCGGAATACCGCTTCCCTTCCCGGTAAGCCGCCTCGAGCTGCTCCACCCCTTCCGCTGGAATACCGCCTTTCTTCAACACCGTGAACAACACCTTAAAAGTTCCGGCGGTTGGGAGGAGCTTCCGTGTCACCACCATCTCCCGCAACATTTCACCGCACTCGAGGAGGCGGCCGGTGGTGGCATAACATGCCATGGCTTTATTGAACGAAGCACAATCGGTTAACAAACCGGAATCTTTCATGTTTTCTACAACTTCAATAGCTTCATCAAGCATACCCATGTTTTTGTAAACATAAATCATGGTAGAGAAAGAAACCGCGTCTGCTTTATTTGTTTTTTTCAAATCATCGAATATCAAAATGGCTTCTGATACCATGCCAAAATCAGCATAAAGATTGATCATGCTATTCGATGCCACCACATCGGGCCCACCCGGTAATTCCTTCATTTTCTTGTAAATTGTTCTTGCTCCTTCCACAATTCCGGTTTTACTATAAGCTTTGATTAAAGAAGTTAAAATTACTTGATTTGGTGAAAAGCCGGATTCTTGCATGATTTTGTAATACCGAAGCGCGTCTTCGAGATTCCCGGTTTCTGCGAATCCGTTTATTAAAGAACCGAATACAATTTCATTCGGTTTAACCCCGGATTTAACCATTTCGTGGTAAATCTCATCTAATTCGTTAACCATGGTTAAACGAGAATAACATGAAATGATCCCGGAAAAAGTCAAACACGAGGGTTTAAAACCGGATTCTTGCATTTCGTGTAAAAGATCGCGTGCTTCATTTACCAAATCGCCCCCGGCGAACATTTGAATCAAGGAGTTGTAAGTGCACTCATCGGGCCAAATCCCTTGACTTTTCATCCCTTTAAATAATGAAAAAGCTTGATCATGTAATTTCGCGATTCCATATGCTTTAATCATGACGTTATACTCGATTATATCGATTAAATCTCGTTCACAGTTAAAAACATATTCAGCTTCTGTCCAAAGTCCCTTTTCAGCATACGTGTCTATAATTGCAGCATAAGTTTTAGAAGATAATCCGCCTTTTTTATGACACTTTTCGAATATAAACTTTGCATGATCAATTAACCCTTCTTCCACATACATTTTAATGAGAATTGGAACAGAGTGGTTATCGATATATAAACCGGATTTTTCGATTTCTTTAATTACATTTTCAACTTCATGGATCATTCTTCTTTCACATAGAATTTGAAGAACAGCTCTATGAGTTACAACATCTGGAAAAAGACCCACTTCCCGGATCTTTCTGTAGCATTTAAGAGCTTCATCTATGTCTCCCATGGCAGCATATAGAGATAAAAAGATGTTGTATGTTTTTGTATCGGGAGATATTCCTCTTTCTTCCATTTTATACAACAAAGATTCAGCTTCTGATAAATTCCCATGACTCCCACAAGTAAAGATCATTGTGTTGAAGGTGATTGTATCCATAGCGATTCCTGACTGAAGCATTTCAGCGAACACATCACCTGCATCTTTTAATCTCCCTGCTTTCCCATATAAATCAATCAAAGTGTTGTAAGTGGCTGTTAAACGAGGCTTTTGAACAGAGTTTTCTGTATTCATACTCTTTGTATGATCTCTCCCACCAGTTCTAAAAAGCTCAGTCAATAAGAACTGAGTCAAACTAATGGGTTCTGAACATGAATCAAATTCCAAATCGTTTAATTCAACAATACCAACACACCAATCTTTGTAAAATCGATCTGCTCGATCATACTCACCTCCATCTTTCAATACTCGAACCACTGTGTTCATGGTGACTTCATCGGGAAAGATGCCTCTAAGCTTCATGTGTTTAATCCACAAAAGAGCTTCTTTCACAAGACCTGCTTTTCCATACACATCAACGAGCATTCCATATGTGTTATTAGTTGGGAAAACACCCTTATTAGCCATGTCAATCCAGCAACGTCTTAATTCATCCCATTTCCTGGCACGACCTAGGGCACGAAGAACAACGTTGTAGTGAATCACATTAGGTGAATACTCCGGCTGCGATTTCATCCACTCGAAAACTCTAATAACCCTTTCCCAGCTCCTTTGCTCTTTGAGAATCACCGTCTGTTCTTTAGGATTTAGTTTCCCGTAATATAAATTCAGGGTTTTATCAACATCGTCTTCGGAATCCGAATCCAAAGACTTTAAAATCGAAGGCAGTAGACCTCCATATCTCTTCTTATTCTTCTTATGGTTAGAACTGTAATTACCTACAGTATTTCTGATGGTACTAACAGTACTCGTGGTTGAACACTCGGTTTTTGAGCGAATTTGAAGCTTGAAGTTGAAACCCAGATAAACCCTATTGGGGAATTTATCAGGTTTTCCATAAAACCTTTGAACAGAAATCAAATTGAACCAAGGGTTAAAGGTTTGAAGCTTACATGTTGAAGAAACAGCTTGTAAATTATATGGTCTGTGCAAATTCTCCCGGCTTACTTCTCTGTAACTGCAAGTTTGAAGCATTATGGCGGCTTTTTTTCGGCTTGCAGGTTCCAGCCTTTGTTCTTCCACTAGAAGCCTTCAGTTTCTCCACTGCTATTTGTTTTATTCAAAATAATTTCATAATAACCCTTGAATTATTACAACTATTCATTTCTTGCACCTAAGTTTCTCTCTTTCCATTTCTCGTGACAAGTTTACATTTTACAACACTTTACCTTGGGTTTCAATAATTACAAAGAGCTCTACATTTAACTGTATAAACATGTGGTAGAATACAAGTTCTAAGATTTCTAACATGACCCAAAATTACAAACATAATATTAAATCTTTGCAACAAATAAATTAAAAAAATGAAACTAACTTAGCATCTAACTATATATACACACGTGTAGTTTTGAAAAGTGTTTGTCTTTGATCATGCATGTCATAATGCTGCCATCATAGTTGACCTTGTAGCCTCACGTTTCATCTCTGCAGCTTTTCCACTACCACGGAAGTATGAATAAACTTGCTGCATATCCATAACAATTAAACCACATAAATTGAAATTAAAGAAAAAAGGGGAAGATCATGATCTGATCATGAAGATCAATATTTCAAACCTGAATAACCCAGATGCTGATTGCTGTTTCAATGAAAAAAAGTCCAAATCCAATGAGGTAGATACCCTGAAAATGAAGCCGGATGATGAACATATAATGTTGAATAAGTGTTTTCTTTTAAATATTACTACGTACCCCAAGCATAGCATTTCCTACTAGAAGATTAAAAGCTGGTAAAATCCCTCTGTAATATATAATTAAACCCAAATCAAGAATCAGATTTATAAGACACGTGTCATTCTCTTTCTCATATCTTATCATTTACAGATAAATGTGAAGAAAAATAATAAAAATAATCGTTATGAAATGTAACTTACGCGATTGATTTCCCTTCGATGAATATAGGAGGAGCAAGTGAAGCAAAAGCACAAAAGAAGACGTGAAACTACACCAATAGAAATGTTTCACATGCAAAGTTTTGTCACAAAGAAGTAAAGCAAAAATAATAATAATAAAGATGACATGGAGCTTACGCTGTATGTTATGAGAAAGAAACTAAACTTTACAGCGCTATCGCTCCTGTGAATAAAGAAAAATATTACAACTTATATCACGAATAAATGTGCTAATTTGACTAGTAAGATTGGAGTTAATTATACCTAGTGGCTCGATACAAAGGACGATACCATAAAACGTATGACCCTGGAATTCCTAATATGATGTAGATAACAGCACATAGCCAGATTGTAACACCTGTTAATTGATATATACATGAAGAGGAAAAGAAAAAGAAAAAAGAAAATAACAAAAAAGATAATTATTTCAGTAATCTATATGTTTTTTCTTTTGACTTAACGCAGAAAGAATGACTTAATACAGAAAAGAAAGGGTATATACCTTCTCCTTCAAACCAGGCAAAAGACACTGCAATAAGATTCCATACAAGGCATACTATGATACCTTCAAATGTTACAAATGATGATGAAAGTATAAATGAACAAGAAAAAAGAAAAGAATTTTCAAAATTAAATATTGTAGAACTTGAAGATAATTACATTTACACACCTAGCCATGAACCAAATGCAACATATTGTACTTTCTGTAAATGGATAGGAATTTCGGATTTAATGTTATGATGTATTATAGGGTAAAAAGGTGGCCAATTGTTTTCCTCTATAACAACTCCAGCTGCAAAACAGATAAATGTTAACTAGATTTATGTGCATCACTCTCACATTACATAAGAAAATATATATACTTTTTCAATAACTAATTGCATTACATTTTGCAATTGCCTCCTCCCTCTTCTTTAGCTCCTGCATATGAACATGTGTTCATAAAAAAAAACAATGGCATAATCACAGTTGAAATATATATATATATATATATATATATATATATATATATATATATATATATATATATATATATATATATATATGTGATATGAAGTTCCTAAGTTAAAGAACATGCACCTCTTCCCTCCTTTTCAGTTCAGCTTCTTTATCCTGGAGTTCCTTTTCTATAGCTTTCAAATCCTAAATGCAAGATAAATGGAGAACATTTGAGAAAAAAACCATTATTAAGCCTAAAGGACAATGTGGGGGCATATGAGTAAATATCTTACCTTGGCGTTATTAATAGGGATATCAACAGTTGTACCTTCTGAGGTTGCAGTAGGATTCTGATGATTTCCATGAATTAATAGATATTCAAGAAACGTAAGCAAACACAAAAAGATAAGAAACCTCGCATGGGTTTTTGAAAATTACGATGTAATAACAGAAAAGCATGTTCAAAGAAACAAATGACACAAAAAGCAACGATTCTATTTATGTTATTGCATTAATTATCTCAAGTTTTAAAACCCAAAAACCAGAATAACGAAACTGAATCACAAATGGATAGGATAGCATCATAGCAATCAAGAACAAGACTCCTAAAACCCATGAATCCAATAAAAAAAATCTCACCTTATGGGATATCATAAAACAAAATGTTAAGATGAGAAATAAATTAGATAATGAAATTGGATTACCTCATTGGGATCGTTACGACTACCCATTGGATGAAATCAGAAAACGATGCAACAATTTGTGATTCCTTGCAATGTTGTTTTGAAATTAGTTGAAGAAATTAATGGGTAATTGAATAAGATCGAAGCTTGTTTGATTTGGTAGGAAGATAATTCATAGAAAAGGAAAATGGGAAGGTTTTTGGCGGGTGAGAGAGCTTGAAAAGGCTTCATTCGTATGGTTAATATAGCGGGCTTTGCCTATTTCGGTGCTCCACTCGGTTTGACTCGTAACATCTTCGGTCAATAGGTAGTCAAATTTTGAACAAGTTACAAATTAAATCCCTGAACTTGCTCATACTGCAAGTTCAGTCCATAAACTTGCTCAATAACTTTTTAAAAAGTTTTTAGGTTTTATTTGGATGCAAATTTGTAATTCACAAGTTATCAATTACGAAACTAATAATCATTTGTGTTATTAGCAAAAAAATTTGGTCATATTTGTTGCCAATTTTTATGAATATTTCTTTATTTCAATTTTAGGTCAAATTGCATTTTGCCTGCTATTCTTAATGCAAGGGGGTATTGACAACCAAATAAACGGGTCGAACAAAAGCAAGTTGGAAGTTTTATTTCTTCATTACTCGGTGAGTAAGTTTGAGAAAATATGAAATTGGAATATGGTTTGGAACATGAAATCAATTGTATAAGTCCAATTAAACCTATTGGGCCGTTTAAATTGAATTAAGCCCTATAGAAAATGTGTACATATTCGAATTTGATAAGATTAATTTAATGTTTTAGTTCAAAGTAAGGTTGTTGTCACGGGGAGCTAAGTTTCAATATTTATAGAAAAATTTCATTTTAGTCCAAAAAAAAAAAATTGAATATAAAAGTCTTGATTATTTTATTTTTGTTCAAATTAATAGTTTTTTTTAACAGGAAATGATATATTATCATGTAAAATCAAATATATGAGACTTTTCTATTGAAAAAAATAAAACTAAAGTTAAACTTTTCCGAAAATATTGTAATTTTTCTGACAATTTTCCTATCTAAATTTTTAATTATATTTAGTATTTACATAGGAAAATTTTTAAAACCTAACGTGAAAAAAAAAAATTAAGAACTACTTTTTAGTATTAGATAAAATAAGAAACAAATAAATTAAATAAATGATGGAAGGTGTTCATATTTTTACTTATTTATTTATTTTTTTGAAGTACTTGAGTTGTGGTAGGGTAAATTATACCAATCGTTCGTGGTACACATGCCAGAAAACGTTTTTAGTTATTATTTTCAAAAATTAACTCGGATCGTCCTTTGTTTTGTTTTTTCTTACCCTTATTTGTTTATTTTTTGATTTATTTTCTATTTACTTGTTATTTGTTAATTATTTATTGATTTGTTGTCACGTTGAAACGATCCAAAAACACGACCCAAAAATTTTTGTTTTTCAATATAATCAAAACCATAATATAAGTATCATAACATAAAACATACGCGATGTATCCCCAAAACATAATAAAATATTATGCGGAAAACTGTATCATACAACATCAATCCAAAACATCAAAAGACATCCCCAGGATAAAAGCTATGCTGTGGTGTGTGCGATTCTGTCACCCCGAGCTCTTCCCTTTGCTTGCGGAAGTACCTGAAACCAAACTGAAATTGTAAGCACGAAGCTTAGTGAGCTCCCCCAAAATACCACATACCATACAATAACATATAAACACATATTGGGCCCCGCCCACTGCATCGGACCGAAACCCGAAAACTGCATCGGACCGAAGTCCAGAACTGACTGGGACCTTGTCCCCTGCATCGGACCAAAGTCCGGAACTGACTGCATCGGACCAAAGTCTGGAACTGAGTGCATCAGACCGAAGTCCGGAACTAACTGGGACCGTGTCCCCTGCATCGGACCGAAGTCCGGAACTGACTGAGCATAGCATATCATACCAACTAGCATGAACAAATATACGGCATACTGCATCGGGCCGTAGCCCGGAGTACATAACATATAACACATATCACATAGGTCCTGTCTGAGCCACGAAGGCATCAAACATGCCAACTACTACGTCGGACCGAAGTCCGGAAACTACTGCTAACTGGACGGGCCGGCATTGTGGCCTTAGACCCGTCCCTACTGGAAGGAAATTCACCTCGTAAGCTGGCTGCTGAGTGTGTGGCTCGGGAAGCTAACGGCTGCTGCTCCTGAATCTCCTCGGCTACAAGTCCATAAACACACTCAATCAAATACTAAACACTGCTCTTGGGGTAAAATGACTCTTTTACCCTTGGTCAAAGTCAACTCTCTTTTGGGCTGACTCGCCGAGTTGGGCCACCCAACTCACCGAGTCCTACTCTCACTTTTCACTCTTACTCGCTGCTACTCGTCGAGTCTGGCATCGACTCGACGAGTACCCTCTTGATCCAAGAACTCAGACAATCTTCATCCGACTCGCCGAGCCGGATGAACAAACTCGACGAGTTGTTCTTGATCTTTAAGAAGATTGCCTTGGACTCACTGAGTTGTATGAACAACTCGCCGAGTCCCTCCATCACTGAGTCTACTCTCAACTCGCTGAGTCCACTCCCTAACTCACCTCGTCCACTCGACACTGATAAAACTGAAGGACTCGGGACTCGCGACCCAACTCGTCGAGTCGTTCTTCCGACTCGCCGAGTTGCCGCCATGCAACTGATTTTTACTCGATTTTGTTTGAATCCAATGCGTACAATTGATAGATCTGAGTCCAATAAGCTGTTTTACCACGTAAAGTTTCCAACTTTACGTGCATAACCTCATGAATAAGGTAAATAAGGCTAAAAGATGCATAAAATGGGTAGATCTATAGTTAACATGCAATATAACTCCAAAAAGACAGTAGATTTGGGCTCTACAACACCCCAACATTCAGATCCATAGATATTTCGACTTAATAAGACGTTCATGCAAGTGTAAGGCTTGGAACAAGCATCAACTAGCTCTTAGGAGAGCTCTAATGGAAGTTTAAAGCATATAACAAGATGGAACTCCGAAAATACCTCAATTAACTCTGATTTGGCCTTGGATCTTTGCACTACAACACTTCTCCTTGCTTCTTCCTTCTTCACACCTTCACAAAATGGCACCAAAACACATATAAGCTCTTCAAGGGAGGTTTAGGGCTCTAACACTGCGTTCTCAGGGTGAGGGAGGCGAGGATGGGGGCTATAAGGTGGTATAGATAGTGGGCAACCCGGGGATTTAGGGTTTCACCCAGACGGATGGACTCGCCGAGTCCCCGGCTCACGCGTGCCCTCAGGCGCGACCCTACTCGGCGAGTCAGGCTATGAACTCGCCGAGTCCCTCTTGTAAAACTCACTATAATTACCAATAAATCAACATACCGGGAACGGGTCGTTACACACGTGACCACCCACAACGACCGACTTCAATGCTCCAACAACTCCTTTCGGAAACTCCTGTACACCTCTGGTTTCATACAGAGGAGATCGACTCCAAGACACCGGCCAAGTTCAGTCTCTATTTTAATATTTTCTCATGTTTTCCCCTATTATGATCTCATACTTGCGTCTCTCCAGTTTCAGATTTGGAACTGGAACCATTTGAGTTTCTCCATCTCAAGATTTTCCACAGATTACCCAACACCACCTATCACCGCTAGCACCTATGACACCACCACCAATCACTGCCATGTCCTCCTCCAACCAAATCATAATATGAAAACCGTGCACCTGACTTCTTCCTTGATCTGAAACCTTAGGCGAAAAACGATGGAACATATGTGAAGAAGGTGATCAATCTAAACATATGCCGACAACTTCTTCCTCGATCTGAACCTTGCACCCGTCTTCTTCATCAATCATCCCTGTATTCTTTCCATTCAATCAAACTTATGGTTTCTATGATTTCCTTACATTGTGCATCCAGAAAATCCAGATGTAAAAGAGATCCAAAAAATCAATCTATGTTAAAATATGATAATCATCGATTGTAAAATTTCCCAAACATCGATTATTTTCTAATAAACAATCACAATTATAAAATAGATAAGAGAGGGAGAGAGAGATAGAGAGAGAGAGAGAGACCAGCATTCCAATTCGACCATATCTGAAAGACACTTGGTACCGATTTGAACGGATCTAAAATGGACTTCAACCTATCTACAACCCTATATAACCATGATGTCGAAGATTGTGTCCGCTTCCACCTCTGATTATAACGCCTTCGCCTCTGTTTAGAATAAAGAATTAAGAAAGAGTGTGATAGTTCTACATTGAGAACGGAGAAGAGGGAAAGAGATCAACTATTCTTCATATCTTTCTGGCAATGGCTTCCCCCATCACAAAATCAGATCGAGAGGAGGTAACCTTGCTCCTATGGTGTCTGATTTAGGTTTCGGATTCATGGTAGCTTTTTAAGGTGCATATCGACTTCATGGGTATCTTGAAGCTTGCCAGAAGCATATGATTTTGCCGGCGGGTTCTACGATATGAAAGAAAAGAGAAAGGGGAGATGTAGAGGGTGGGTGAGAGTGGGCCCAATTCCCTTTTTAAATGATAAATAATATTAGATTAATTGGAAAAAAATACATAGGGGCATTATGATCATTTTAAATCTGGTATGGACTAAACATGCAACAAAATCATCTTTTAGAGATGAAACATACAACTTTAAACCAAATAAGGAACCATCCGAGTTAATTTTAAAAAATAAGGACTAAACGTGCCTTTCATCACCTACACGATGAACGATTCGTGTAACTTACCATAGATAGTATTGTTCATTTGGTCGCTATGAAATATCATAGGCGTAAGACATATATTTTGTAGGTAATCATATGCTTTTCTAATCACTTTTGTTGTTTTAATATTACGACTCTAACATTCTAAATGTCATCATTTTTAAGCTAAATATCTTAAATGTTTCTATTTATCATTTTTTTTTCCTTCGAACTTGAAATAATTTATATCACAACGTTTTGGTGTTAAATGATAAATGAATAGCATGATTTGGTTTTTAATGTTTCATTGCTAATTTACATATGATCTAATATAATTTATATGTACTTTTTAAATTTGATGTTATTTTTAAATGCAAAAGACAAGAGTGAAACAAAAACATCTATCATATTTTAAAAGCTACAGAATCATATGTTTGAGTATTTTTTGAAATCCATGAGTTGTGGTAAGGGCTTGACCATAAAGAGTTTTCTCAAAGGCCGCTATGAAATATCATAGACATAAGACATAACTTTT